CCAGGAATTGAACTGGTGTCTCTTGCATTGCAAATGGATTCTTTACCAACTAAGCCATCAGGGAAGCGCCCAGGGGACATGAGTTTGAGCAAATCCTAGGAAATAGTAAAAGACAGGGTAGCCTGGTGTGCTGTTTGTAGTACATAGGGTCACAGAGAGTCGGACACAACTGAGCGACTACAAACAACAACCCTTGCAAGAACAAGGTACATTGTACCTAGTGAAGTTTCTCTTTGTTTGCTGATTCAAGTCTGGAATGAAGTATATTCAGAAGAGATGGGATTAACTTAGGAAACACTTTATATATATATATATATATATATATAAACACTTTTTTATTGTATATATATAATTGTGATGCATCTCCCCACAGTTGCTTGGTTCTTGAAGTTTAATTGCTCGTCAGCTCCAAACTAGAAACTTTAAAGAAAATCATAAAAACTAAGTCCATATGCTAATCATCACTTACAAGTCATCTGCCTTCTGCACTCAGAAGCTTCCAAACTGAGGAATTCGCTGAAATGAAAGAAAACCTGTGGAGTCCAAAATTCCATTTACCTTTCACCACAGATTCACCATTATCAATTTCCTTTAGCAAATAAGGTTGGCTTGGGTTGAAAATATGAAAGATTAAAGAAAGTATTAAAGGAACCAGTCAATTCCCTTCTCACTCTAAATCACTACCCGCTCTCCCAATTTCTGAGTTAAAATTGATCAGTTATCATATATAACTCTTCACTTACAATGTGAATAATAATAGCTCCTAGGCTCTGTACTTCACATATATTCTTTAATTTAATCCATTGCAAAAGCCTGATGGGTATGTTTTAACATCCCCATTATACAGATGTGAAAAGTGAGACCCTAAAGGAAACTAATGGCAAAGAATTAGGTCAGCTAACAGAGTTATTTAAAATAGGCCAAGCTAATCTTTTGCTAATATTGTAAGTTATTGAATACCTTAAAGATTATATGATATAGAACTTCTAAGATTTTTTAATTAGAACATTTTTAAATGCATACCTGTTTTTTCCTTGAATTTGCTTTGGGAAACAGGCCTGCTGACAACACAGATGTAAATGGAGAGCAGCATAGCTCAGGAAAAGGGTTTGGAATAGATGGCATTTCCAGAACATCAAGATCTTTCTTTTTTCTCCTACAGAGAGAACATAGGATGTAATTTACATAAAACGGAATGTAAAATATAATTGCTGTCAGGGTTGAGACGTTAAGGCCAGAATGCCCCACTCTGTGACAATACTAATATAAAGTATACAGGAAAGGTCTGTGGTGTACTACCTGTGGGTCAGAATAAAACACGTTAATTGACATAAATCAATCTCCTTTTGCATTCCTTTCTTTCTTTCTTTTCTTTTGGCCTTTAAAAAAAAAAAATCACCAGGCCTGGAAGCCCCATTTCCAGGACTTCTGATAATTCTCCTGAAACTGACATACAGACTACAGAATTATTGAAGTAAAAATCATCCTGAGTAGTTAGACATTGTTTTGCATCCACTACATTGACAGTCTATAAACATTTAGTGAATTCATCCCTATTCTATTCTACTAATCACTTTTGAAAGTTATGGTTTATTAATTATAGCTGTGGTTCATCTCACTTCAAATTTCATTCACAATGTGGCCCACACACAGTCTGTTGATTTTTCAAGTGCTTATAGATACTAAACTGCAAGGCAGTGTTTTTGAGGGGGTTAGTGAATAGAACTTGCTAGTATTAATGTACTTTGGTCCACTGCAGAGTAATTTTAACTTCAGTGAAGTTGAAGCACTTTGAAAATCTGAAGAAGAAAAAAAAGACACCATTTAAATGTATGAATATAAAGGACTATAGATTTTTGTATTGTTGCAGCCTTTTTCTTTCCTAAAGTATGTGTGAAATTGTGAATTCTACAGGCACTTAGGGCTGAATGCTATGGAGATTGGGAAACACTTTAAAGCCTCTATTCTTTCCTGATGATCAGCTAGACTGCTCAAATGTCAATCCGTACTTTGCCTCTCCAGGGTCGCTCTAAGACTCCATGTGGGAGGCGAACTGATTTATTCTGATTTTTTATAATATATAAAAGGGATTTTGTTGTTTGTTTTTTAAGGCAGTAAGAAGGAAGGAGGGTGGTCAGCCTGGAGCTCGGCCTCCTAGTTCACACCGATGGGCAGAGACGAGAGCGACCCGGAGCTCTCAATGAAACGGTGATGCTATTTATAAGGCGCTGGGAGATCGCAATGTCCTGCCCATCCGGTAGGAGCCAGCTCAAAGGGAATTGTCTTCAGAGACTTTCTCAAACTTGGCCCAGCTCTGGGCACATGGCTCACCCCCTAGGACCGCCTCCTCACCCCTCGTCGGCTGCCAACCCAGGACACTCCCCCGCGCCCTCCGAGGGCTGCCTACCTGTCTGCCGCACAGCCGCGGGTCGCGTCCGGAGGGGGCAGGAGCGCCCGCGCGTGCAGCCAGGGTGCCGGCGCCAGGTCGCGGGCGTCGCCCCTCCCCTGGGCAGCGCCGCACACCTGGGCGGCCAGCGGCGAGTCCCTGGCAGCCGCCCGACCCGCGGCGCTCTGCCCATCTTGCAGGGAAGTGGTCATTGTCGCCGGCCGGGGGGCTCGGGCGTCATGGGAGACCCGGCGCGGGGGGAGAAGGAGATCGGGCGGCGGGAGGCGAGGTGCCGGTTCGGCAGCCCGAGCGCGCTGCAGGTGTGGTGGCCTCGCCGCCTGCGCTCTGGACCCGGGCGGCTCAGACGCTCGGCCGAGCGGTAGGCGAGGCGGCGGGGGAGGGGAGGGGGCGGAGGAGGAGGGTCGGGGGCTCGGGCGTCATGGGAGACCCGGCGCGGGACTGAGGACACCGGCGAGGGAGAAGGGGTGGACGGGGCACAAGCAGTACAATCGGTGCCGAAAACTCCTGAGATGTTTGAGAATTCTGAGTAAGGTATGAGTAAACCTGACGTCTTAGGAATTAGGAAGATTATTCATTTTCTTCTGATAAGAGCAGTTCTCATCTAATGAGTCCCCACTCTGCCTAGCCCCGTTCAACCTCACAACGGCCTCATAAATTAGATGTTTACCCAGAATAAGGGAATTGAGGCTCAAAGTCATGGAGTACCTGGTACAAGACAGGGCTAGTGAAGTAGTGCAGTGAAGCTTCCAACCCGAAAGATTCCATGCCCCAAATCCAGACTGTTTGAAGTGGTAATTACATTACGCTCACCTGAGATGCAGTCGCCCTACTCTGAATTCTGGGTGGTAAATCTGTTAATGCTCTTCCAATAAGTGCACCATCCCAGTGCACTGTTTGGGATTTCCAAATGTTTTATACACTCTTTGTTCTTTGACCAAATTAGGTAACATCTGTCCCTGGCTTCTGTTAACCAGGTTTTCTTAACCTTCACAACCTCTGCCCAGGGAAAGGCAAACACTGCCTCCTAAGGCAACTGGCAAAGCCCCCTGCTCCATATCTGCGTGTCACCCCAACACACACACACACACCATGGCACCATCCACTGCCGACACCCAGGGTTTGCTAATCCCCAGCCTGTGAGAAATCTGTAGTACTTCATAGAGGCACAAAATTTTGAGTCAAAGAGCTTACAGAATCCAAGTTTTGCTCACGTCAAAATTAAAACCCAATAAATAGCAATATTGACCTGGGTTACACATCAAGAGTGGTCTCCAGGACACTTTATGCAATGCAATGGCTAAGCCCAGACCAAATGGTAGCTCCCCCGAGGGATAAGATTAGCAATACTAATCATGATGATAGCTAACACATTGATGCTGTGTGCCAGGCAAAGCCCTCATTCACATCCTATTCCCTGAAGGATGGTCTGGATTCTATGTGGATTTCAAGAGAGTTTAATGTAAAAACGTACAGATATGTTGAAGTCTTTCCAGCAAAATAAAAAAGAAGCATGTATTTGCAGATAACTTGAGCTAAAGACATAAAGAAATAAATTTTCTTCCTCATCATCATCAATCATTCCTATTTTCATTCAAAAGTCCTGCAGGCAGCCATTGCTCCTTTCTGAAAATGATATAGTTTGAACATTCTAACAAGAGAGTGAATCAATGGCTGAGATCTGTCCCCTCCCTACTCAACAACTCTCTGTCTCTCTGTCTCATACAGAGAAAGAGAGAGCAGGCTGTCTTTTTTTGCCAGAGAAAAGAGTAGGTGGAAACTATATCTTTGGAATCACTGGAAATACTATTTCCCAGTTGTGTATACTGCTCCACTTACCAGCATAAATTTTTAACCTCAGGAAAGAATATTCATTGGTTGGAATGAGATCTCAATTGTGTCTCCCCTCTCTGGGCATTTTCTCATTTAGTGGAAATCCAGAGAGTATCCATTTGCAGACTTTATATTCCTCCTCTAACCCCCATGAGGAAAACTTGTTATACCTGTAGTAATTGGGGGGCAAAAAGGAAAAGAACAAATCTGAGGAATGAGAACTTAAATAGTTTTGCCTTGTAGATTGACGTTAAATATTGAATTTACTCCCAGACACCTTGAGGATCTATATCAAGAATGATACAGTTCCCTCATTCACATTTTTGAAGCAAGCCAACAAAAGAACTAGCTTTTGTATCCAAGAGATTTACCAAAAAAAAAAACTTTCTGAATAAAGAACTATGCAATATAAAAGGTGCAGAATACTATGAGACCTAGTACAGCCTAAGAGAATACAGAGGCATTTTTCTGTGAAAAGGGTAGTTCAAAAGAGATTTTCCTTCCCATAACTAATGAAGATAGTGGAAGCTAGTAAAGCAGATACCTTGTCACCACAGAGTCAGTCCTCCCCTAGCGGCTGTTCTTTTTTGACTTGAGCCTGTAAAATGGCAAAGGAAGCAATTTGTCTCCTGGCCCCTCCCCCACTGTAAGCCTTTTCTGCCCCTGGTCTCTCTCCCGGCATCCTAGGCTTCCTACCCCTAGGGAAAATGTGGCCTCTGCTTTCTTCTCTCCCTTTCTCAGCCAATCAAACTGCTTAACCCTTTATACTGGGAAAGATAGCCCATGTACAGACAAGAAGGTCACAAACAGCACTGTGTGATGATTTATCATAAGGCAAACACTGATGTCAGATGATGAAATGCATTACTGTCAGTCATCCCAAAGCCCCGCCCTCCGATCCAGATTTTCCGCGTAATCATAGTAAACTCATAATTTAACCGTAAGTATCCATCCCTACTCACAACAGAGTAGGTTGTCTGGTTTGGACCTTTATGTAAATGAAATCAGGCAGTAGGACCCTTTTGTACTTGACTTGATGGTTCCCTTTACCCATTGTTTACAATATGCTTCCATGCTTTTGTTTATGTTGTTTATTCTTCCTTGCTTTTACACGTTTCTCTAGTTCTTCTAACTCTTCTATTGTATGTAAATACCACAATATATGTATTCATCTACTATTGGTAAGCATCTGGGTTATTTCCAGCTTTGGACTGCCTTAGTACTGTTCAGTGAGCATTTTGCCCCCTTCTCTTGGTGGTGTGCATGCATTTCTGCAGAGCGTGTATACAGAACTGGCATTGTGAGGTCATGCTGTGTCTGTGCTCATCTCCTGTAGATACTGCCAGTTTCTCAAATTAACTCTACCAATTTTCACCACACCAGCAATGCATGTTTCCCCAGTTCTTCACGTCCTTGACCTTTGGAATATTATTAGAATTTGTACAATAGACATTCTGGTGTACGTACAGAAATACCTCATGGTGGAATTTGACTCCTGATGACTGATGAGGTTGAACACTTGTTCATGTGATTATCTGCCATTTGGACATTCTCTTTTGCTAAGTACCAGTTCTCCTGCCTATTTTATGATGAGTTGTCTGTCTTTTTCTTATTCTAGTTATATTCTAGTTATGGGCTCCTTTTTAATGTCTTGTAAATCCATTCTCCCATTCTGTCTTATATCTTAGACCTCATTAATATTTTTTGAGAAACTGTTCTTAATAGTTACAGGACTACTCTAATATTCTTAATCTAATATTCTTATTTCTTCTAGTGTCAATTTTGACAAGTAGCATTTTAATTTTTCTCTTTCATCCAAATTTTTAAATGTTTGGCATGTTCAGTTGCTCAGTCGTGTCCGACTCTTTGTGACCCCATGCTCCAGGGTCCTCTATCCATGGGATTTTCCAGGTAAGATTACTGGAGTTGGTTGCCATTTTGTCCTCCAGGGGATCTTCCTGACCCAAGAATCAAACCCACGTCTCCTGCTTCTCCTTCATTGCAGGTGAATTCTTAATTACTTGAGCCATCAGAGAAATGTTTTAGCAGAAAATCTTTCATATTTTCTTCTTTTTAATACCTAAAGGATGTATTGTATTGGCCTATTCCTTAGTCCTAACATTAGCTATTTGTGCTTTCTCACTTTTCTTTTTGATGATATTCACCAGAATTTATGAATTTTAAAGCTTTTCAGGAATTACTTTATTGTCTGTGTTGTCTTGTTTGTTTCTATTCTAATCTTTTCTTTTTCCCCCTTCTACTTTCTTTGGGTTTATTTGCCCTCTTTTGTGTCCCCTAAATTTTTTCTGTGGATGCTTATAGCTCATTGACATTTAGCTTTTCGTATTTTCTGATATTCACATTTAAAGACATATGTTTCCTCTCAAGTATGACCATAGCTGTATCTCTCAAGTTTCAATGAGTTATATTTTGGTTATTATTCATTTCAATGTATTTTCCATTGTGATAGAGTTTTTTCTAGCTGTCTTTTTCTTTTGTTCTTTTTTTTTAATATAATTTAATTTCTTTGTTGTCAAGGACAATACTCTATGTGATTTCAGTCCTTTGAAAGTTGCTTTTTGGCCAAGCATATGGTCAACATTTATAATAGTGTGTGTATGATTGAAAAGAAGGTATTTTCATTTCATTGTGTCAACCATGTTGTTTAAATTCTCTCTATTCATAGTGATTTTTTATTTGTTTATTCTACCATATTCTGAGAGATGTTATATTAAAATCTCCCACTATGATTGTGGATTTTTTTTAACTCTATTTTATTTTACTTTATACGTTTTAACGCTAAATTTTTAGAAGTTAGTTTTAGTATATTATTTTACAAATTTAGAATTAGTAGGTCTTTTTGATAAATTGAAACATTGAACATTTTGAGCTGTTCTCCTTTACCTCTATTAACTTTTCTGCCTTCAGACTTTCCTTTGATATTCATACAGTTTGGCTGATGTTTTATGGTACATCTGTTTTCCATACTTTGTGTCAGAATTTTTTATCTCCATGTTTTATGTGTCTTTTATGTCATAAGATTAGGTCTCTTAGCTAATTTTTTTTATCCAAGTAGATGATCATTGCTTTTAATTGAAGAATATTTTATGTTAAATGTCTATCCTAATAAGAGCTGTCTTCTTATCTAACCATTTCTGTGTTTCTTTTCCCCTTCTTTCTTATCGTCTCTTGGATTATTTTGTATTACTTCATGTTTTTCCTTCTGCTTATCCATTTGTCCTACCTCATGGATTCATTTTTTATCTTTCCCCACCCTGCCTGGGTCCCAAGGAAGGTCACGTTTATGGATGATATCAAAGAACTTCCTTACTTTCTGACCTCTGATTGGTTTTGTTCAATGGAAGAAACCAGTAAGAAATTGAACAGTGGGAAGAATATGAAATTGGGGTGTTTATTCCCTTTTTCTCCTGTCAGGTGGCATGGTTCCTCTCTTGCAATGCAATCCACTGCATGTATAAGTGTTACCTGACCTCTTTATGTAATCCTATGGGAATTTCAAGCTCAGAAAACTGCACAAATGCTGATACTTTGGCTACTGCTATTGCTGTGAGTGACAAACTGTCCTTTGTCTCTGACCCAGGAGTTTTGTGTCTTCTGCCAGCATCCTTGAATCTATAGCAGGATAATTTGTCCACTTGCAAGCTGAGTAAAAATTCAGATAGATCTTGACACAGTGGAGTTCTGCACTAGCTCCTTTTGTTATAGTTTGTTTTCTCTTGTTTAAACTTGGTCACATCTTTATAAGGAGCTCCTTTGTTAAACTCTCTTCAAATTACCCAGCTTGGATGTGCCATCTGTTTTCTGCTTTATTAACTTGAGAATAATACACATTTTTAGTATTCTTTTAGTGGTTGTATCAGAGATTACAACATAAAGAAATAATAATTTAATTTAAACCATCTTTCCAAACAATGCAAGGATATCAAACACTTTTATATGAAATGTCCAGAATAAGCAAATCTGTAGAGATAGACAGTAGATTAGTGGTTACATGGGACCGCTTGGGTTGAAGTGAAATGGAAAATAATTGCTAATGGGTGTGAGATTCTTCAGGGGGTGATAAAAATGTTCTAAAATTAATTGTAATGTTGGCTGTACAAATCTGTGCATATATTAATAGCTATTGAACTGTACATTTTAAGTGGTGAATTGTGTGGTATGTGGCCTGTATCTCAACATAGTTGGACACTCCCTGGTGGTCTAGTGGCAAGGATTCAGGGTCCCAACATAGTTGTTATATATGGTCTTTTATGACTGGCTTCATTCACTTAGCATACATTTTCAAGGTTCATACATGTTGTAGCATTTATAAGTACTTCATTCCTTTTTATTGAGGAATAGTGTTCTATTGTGTAAATACATATATACATATATATTTTGTTTGTTTGTTTATCCATTCATCACTTGATGGATATTTGGATTTTTTTCCACTTTTTGGCTATTGCATATAGTGCCACAGTGAACATTTGCCTACAAGTTTTTGTGTGGACATATGTTTTCAATTCTCTTTGAAGTTGCAAGGCTATTTGATAACTCTATGTTTAATCATTGAAGGAACTGCCAGAATATTTTCCAAAGTGTCTACACCAGGAGTATACAAAGGTTCCAGTTTCTCCTCATTTTGACTAACACTTGTTATTTTCTGTCTTTTGAGTATAGCCATTCCACTGGGTACCATGTGGTATCTCATTATGGTTTTGATTTGCACTTCCCAAATGGCTAACAGTGTTGAACATCTTTTCATGCACCAACTGACCATTTTTATATCTTCTTTGGAGATATGTCTATTCAGATCCCCTCCCCATTTTTCACTTGGCTCATTTGTCTCTTTTTTTTTTCAGTTGGTTCATTTGTCCCATTATGGGTTTTCTTTTCACTTCTGATGATTTTTTAAATCACAATGTTTTAAGCTTAGATAAAGTCCAATTTTTTTGGCACATGCTATTGGTATCATATCTAAGAAGGCTGAGGTCACAAATATATATATACTCCTATATTTTCTTCTATCAGTTTTAGAGTTTTAGCTCTTAACGTTTAAGTCCATAATACGTTTTTATATGTCATGTGAAAAGAGAGTCCAACTTCATTTTTTTTAACATGTATATATTCAATTGTCCTAGCATATTTATTGAAAAGACTTTTGTTTCCATTGCATTATTTTGGCATCATTGTGAAAAATCAGTTGACCACTAACACGAGGATTTACTTCTTGACTTCCAATTCTGTTCCATTGAACTCTATGTTTCTTATGCCTGCTATGCTGTTTTTATTATTGTAAATTTTTAGTTAGTTTTAAAATTGGGAATTGTGAGTCCTCCAGCATTGTCCTTTGTTTAAAGTTTGTTTAAGCTCTTCTGTAGCCCCTTAATTTCCTCTTGAATTTTAAGGTCAGTTTGTCAGTTTTTGCAAAAGAACGAACTGAGATTTTGATAGGGATTTCACTTAAACTTCAGTTCAGTTAAGAGGAGAATATTGTCCTCTTAAAAATATTAAGTCTTCCAATCTATGAACATGGGATATCTTACCCTTTATTTAGGTCTTCTTTAGTTTCTTTCATCAGTGTTTTGTGGTTTTCAGATTATGAACATTGTACTACTTTTAAAAAATTTATTACTAAGTACTTTATCTTTTTTGGTGCTAATGCAAATGGAATTATTATCTTAAATTCATTTTTGGATTATTCATTTTTAGTTTAGATAAATTAAATTGATTTTTTGTATATTGATTCTGTATCCTGCAACCTTGTCGAACTGACTTATTAGTTCTAATAGATTTGAGGATGCATTTTTTCCGCCCCTCAGGATTTTTCATATGCAAGATCAGATCATTTGCAAATAGTGACAATTTTAGTTCTTCATTTCTAATTTGGATACCTTTTATTTTATTTTGCCTTCTTTATTCTTTTTTTTCTTTTTGTCT